GACGCCATTGCATCTTGCTGTTATCGAGAGGTATTACGAGTGTGTCAAGGCTCTGGTGGATAACGGTGCCGACGTGAACGCACAGGACAAAGATGGCGACACCAGTCTCCATCTAGCTATGATGGAGAAATCCACTCCAAGTGAAGAAGTATTGGGTGTTGCATTAACCAAAATAAAGGTTCGTGGACGTTTGCCAAAAATAGTGCTTTGAAAAGTTGTGCTTTTATTAAATATGAATGTCGTTCAAAATTCACAATATTATTCATTGTATGTTTTTATTAAGGCTTATTTTTTTTATTAAGCATATGTTTTCAAAAAAATCAACTTAAAAGGAATTTGGAAAAAGTTCGTCTTTTATGACATTGGTTTGTTTAAGGAAATTTGCTGGAAGATGGCGCTAGTGTAAGGCTACCAACTATACGTACCATCCAGTCATGATAAAAGTGTCTATATTGTTTCTAAGACTAATTATCCCCCAAAACGAAATCTATTTGTTTACAAAATACCGGTTAATATCACTGCTGTCATCCAAACCCCATGACAGAATTACATGTGACAAAAATACCAATCCAACTTTCTCTGCTTGAATGGAAATAAGACCCATTTATTTTTTTTCTCTTATGACAGAAACACGGGGGTGAGGCGTCTGATATCAGTCGGGATAGAATAATTGAGTTGCTGGTCAAGAACTCAAGCGTTGATATGACGCTGAAAAATAACAACGATTTAAGCTGTTTGCATTCCGCAGCAGTTCGAGGGAATAAATTGTACGTATGTAACGCAAAAATATACATTATTCGGGCTGCACGATCGCTCGAATAATAAACCACTTCGTGTCTCGTTTTAATTGCTTGATGGTGCATCCTAGGGAGCAGATAAGAGTAGGCAACTTCTAAACAGCATTAAAATTAGCCCCACAACAGCTTATTGAATGTTAATTCAGAAGGTAAAACATAACTTACTTAAAAGTCAGAGGTACTGCTTCGTATTACAGCTTTACACCATGTTATTCGTTATCCATATCATCTCAGTGTTATTGACCAGATTCTCCAAGTTGCGCCACATTTGGTGAACATGCCACAGAACGACGGTTTTACACCACTGCATCTCGCTGTCGTAAACGGTCACGTGGACATCGTGCTAACCCTCGTAAAGCAGGTAAGTAGATAAAGACGTTTTAAGTAGCAGAGCAAACTNAGGAAGAAATACACAAAATGCATCCTCCTTAAGTTTGTAAACGCCTTTCACACACTGATTTAGCCCCGTCGCAAACCATAAACCAAAAAAAGCTGTAACCTTACTTTTCGACTAGGAAAAATTTACACAAAGGAAAGGTTTTGTATCCAGTTGTGGTGATTTTTTTTGCCCGAGTGATTTTGAAAGCGGGGAACTCAATATGACCAGGCTGAACTGGATCAACATCAGGTGACATAATAAGGGTGTGTCAGCGTATATTAGTTGGTCCGGTGTAAATCCTGATCAAGCATTTGACCTTTGATTTTATGACCTGGTATATGAAATCGAAATCCAAAGTAATTCCATCAATTACATCATTAGCACGGCACAGCCCAGTGAGTCTTGATCGGAATCACGATCATGGTTACCCTCAGCAAGTTTGCAGCATTACTCTGGTGGTTCCTCTGCAGCAATAAAAAAGGATCTGGACTCGGCCCAATCAACCTTTCTCATTGCAACGGTTCCTTTGTATCTTTTTTGCTATACGCAAGAATTTGTTTAAAACCTTTCTTGCAGAAAGTTTGAGGTCATGACTACGTCAACATATATAAAATTACAGCCGACTGTAGTTAACACATCCAACTTCTAACAGCTCGGTCTAATGAACCAATGCAGGTAATGAACCAATGTAGGTACTTGGGATGTTGAAATGGCCCTCATTCTAAGACGAGCGTAAAGTCGCTGTGAGCCTTACCTTCAGGGTTAGAAGGTCACGGTTGGTGTAAATCTCAATCTTGAGCATTTCTAATTGACCTTTATTAATTCGCTTACTGGAAGTGCAATGATTACACAGGTTTGGGTTCGTTTAATTCATTAACCCTGGGTCTACATGGTACATTATGTCCTGCGGTAATTCAACTCTGCTGTCAATATTTGCTGTCAATTACGAGGACATATGAACAACTTGCTGACAGTCGAAAAAAACCCGTAAAATAAAGTTAAAACGCATGAAGACTTGAACGGGAAAATGCATTGCTCGGTTATTACAGATTTTGTAACAAATTTGCGGATGGAAACGGAAGTGACATTGTTAAGGTAACAATACCATTATTTATTTAACCATTTATTTAACGATGCTCGTCATCTTTTGCAACTTTGAATGTGGAAAGTTAGGTGAAACATCGAAGTGTGCCACGTTCCGGGATTCTATCATACGGTACGGGTAAATTTCATTAGCTTTGCAGCGCCTGAAGCTAATTAGTCTGATCTAAATTCGTAGAGTTTCATTTTCATAATCTTTGAGCATCCAGAGAGACTGATTTCACAACTTTATAAAAAGCCTTAAGTCTGATCTGCACGAGAAATATATTTTTCAAGTTCCTTTTTCATTAACCCTTTCATTTAATACCCATCAGTGACGTATACTAGGCCAACAATAACATTCTTTGACGTCATGAAACCGGGGGTTCCGTATTAATCACCGGAAACATGTTTACATGTTGAAAAGCGTGATCATTATTGAGTAACAATCTGCCAATTTTCATATTGGAATTCTATTAGGGTTTAACTAAAACAAAAACCTGTGTACATCTGGATGACGAACTATGGTCAAGTACTGCAGAACTCCTGCCCTTCTTAACCCATGCGAACGTACATGAAAAGATAACAATATCAGACTGGTCAGGGTTTTAGGTAACAATACCAGACTGGTCAGGGTGTTCTTCGGAAATACCCCTAACGCTATGCTTTGTTGTGAAACGTAAATGTTGTTTATAAGATGAAATAACAACAAAGTTTGAAAAATACGAAAATATTTTCATAAAACATCAGCGAGTATCCCAAGCTTGTCAATCCATCTTTACAGATAAAAAATACATTCGACTTCCTCTTTAAGAATATTATTGACATGTCTCGACAACCAAATACCTGTTGCGTACATACCCTTATTTCTGTGGCTTAGGAGTTTAATTATTATGCATTTGTTTGTTATAAATATTATTATACAATTTCATTTTTCAGCTTATCACTGGACGCTTATTGTTAGTGCACTGTGTTTCTTTTGTTAGTAGTTTGAAGTGTATGTTGGTTTGTTAAATACCTCTGTTGAGAGCGATATACATGTATAGGTTAGGTCTTTTTGTCAATTTATTACTAATTGCAATTATTCCAAACAAAGGTGAACTTCAACTTATAATAATTAAACAACTTTAAAGGGATAATCCGGATTTTATCTTTTTGACGGGGCACGACGCCCTTAGGCGTAGTAGAAAATAAGAATCAGTTTTCTTGACGTATACAAAAAGTATTTTTATCCAAATATAACTTAACGTATGGGAAGGGCAAAAACTCCGTAAAAAACTTCAAGGGAAATTCCCACCAGGCTCCATGTTTGTGGCAACCAAGTTGACTAAATAACTGTTCAAACGACCATATGGAAACCAGGCTTTAATTAAGCACCACCTGGTTCAAACAAATTCTCAACTGTGCTGCCTAGCGCTATGTGAACCACTTTACCATACATGCTTTAATATTGACACGTTCTTCATAAACCACATTAAGTTTTAATTTTTATATACCAGAGGGTGCTATGTTGTTATTCTCTCTCGACAGAAGAAAATAGCGGAGGCGTCCGATGTCATTCGGCAAGAAATTATCGACTTGCTTATTCAACATCCAAGAGTTGACAGGACGCTGAAAAATAACAAGGACTTCAACTGTTTACATATTGCGGCAATGAAAGGGAATAAACTGTAAGTACCTTATGCGTATGTTCTTTGCGCTGAATACTAGACAAAATTTGTGTAGTAATTTTCATTTAATTGTCATCTCCCAATTGCATATCTAGAATGGAGTAAAAGCAGAACTTCACAATAGAAAAATTATTCCATTAAGTTGGGGGTAATATTTTTGATTAAAAGAAATTTGTAAGCGAGACCGTTAAAGCTAGCTGCATGCCGTCGCCAGGAAGATTAGCCCACTTTCCGGTACACCAACATCCCAAAAGTCGCTAATCAATTTCTATTTTGCGTTAAACACACAGCGTGAATTTTTTTCACAAAGGGGGCTTAAAAGTATCATTCCAAACTAAAAGAAAATACCTCTTCTACATTGTCGTATAATTTAATGATAATCATACTGCGATAATGTATCATCTTAGTTTTATCGACAAGATGCTTCACGTCGCGCCACAGTTGATAAACATACCGAAAAATGACGGTTTTACACCACTGCATCTAGCTGCTTTCAACGGCTACGCAGACATCGTGGTGACCCTCGTAAAGCAGGTATGGAAGACGGAATGGTCCAGAAAAGTAAATAGCTGAGCCGACAAACTTGAACCAATTACTTATTTCGTTCATTCAGAGTAAGTTCGACCATAGACCCTACACGATTGATGACGAGTAAATGAGCACATGATGAATATGGCATTCACGAGAAGATAGCCCCTAAAAAATATCCCAAATAAAATCGCAGATTGTTTATCTTAAAGAGAAATTGTAGCATTTATGTTTGCACATCAAATGATAAATGATGAATATATATAAATACATCTGGTTCGGCTATACAGGCGGTTAAAATTCCGTTTAACAATCTGTGCTTTTTATGAAATTAATTATGCTTAAATGGGACTATTTAGCCGAGAGTTATTTCTCTTTTGCACAGGAAAATTGCTTGAAGGATCTTAAAAATGCCAAAGGGCACACATCACTGCATCTTGCTATTTTGAAGAGGCATTACGAGTGTGTCAAGGTGTTGGTGGACAACGGTGCTGACGTGAATGCTCAAGACGACGATGGCGACACATGTGTCCATCTAGTTGCAATGAAATCAGCTTCATCCATTGAAAAATTGTTACATGTATTAAAAGACAAGGTGAGGGCACTTGTTACAGAAAAATGGCATAGTACTAAGAGTTAATTAATTCCAAATTTTAAACAATTTATATAGGGAAACTGACTAGGTGCTTAGAAGCGTTAATAAAGATGAACAAAGAAACTGACTGGAGCGGGACTTGAACCTATGGCCTCCGGAACAGGGGACACTCGGAGAGGATACGGCATTTTGAACATAATTCCAAATTTGATAACAAAAGCAGAACAAAATCATAAACGCAACTAAAATGTAATTTTCTGAAATGAAATTGGATCAAAGCTCATTACATCATTTGCCAAATGTTAACATTATTGAGTGAGTTGCAGGCCTCTGTTTCAGTGATTAAAATCCTTTCGGGTAATGTCAATTCAGTCTTATGTTCTTCGAATATTGAATTAAACTTAAAAATATAAAAGCAAGTCACACAGACTAATAAAGGTCTGCACAACAAAGGAGGCAACGTGAAAGCACATTTCAGATACAGTCCAGGCAGTAGGCCTACACTTCATTTTTATGGTAAACCTGGAACTAATTGTAACAGAATTTTTTCTCCACTATGCAATTCTACAAGGTCCCCAGAATGACATCCTAAAATTCCGAGTGAATCCTTGTTGCGGAAGTGTCTAATTTGGATAAATTAAAAATGTCCGCCAAATCTGAGATTTCCATGNGGGAAGAAATACACAAAATGCATCCTCCTTAAGTTTGTAAACGCCTTTCACACACTGATTTAGCCTTGTCGCAAACCATAAACCAAAAAAAGCTGTAACCTTACTTTTCGACTCGGAAACATTTACACAAAGGAAAGGTTTTGTATCCAGTTGTGGTGATTTTTTTTGCCCGAGTGATTTTGAAAGCGGGGAACTCAATATGACCAGGCTGAACTGGATCAACATCAGGTGACATAATAAGGGTGTGTCAGCGTATATTAGTTGGTCCGGTGTAAATCCTGATCAAGCATTTGACCTTTGATTTTATGACCTGGTATATGAAATTGAAATCCAAAGTAATTCCATCAATTACATCATTAGCACGGCAGAGCCCAGTGAGTCTTGATCGGAATCACGATCATGGTTACCTTTATAGAAATAATAGAAAGTAGGTTTGCGGTAGCAAATGGACGTATCTATTTTGTGAGTATTTGTGGTTCTGAAAAGAACCAGTGGTACTCGACGTTTCGAGCGGTATGCTCTGCTCGTCATCAGGAGAATGCCGGATACTGACTGGGAGTGGGGCTGGTGGAGGATAAAGGAGACAGGGATTAGTCCGATGATGCGTGAAGGCGGGAAGTCTGGAGAAGGGATTAGGCTGGCTCGGTGATGCGTGGTGGAAACTTGCTCAGGTGTGGCAGTACTGATGTGGGTGTGGATGGGTGCCTTCAGCAAGTTTGCAGCATTTCTCTGGTGGTTCCTCTGCAGCAATAAAAAAGGATCTGGACTCGGCCTTTCTCATTGCAACAGTTCCTTTGTGTCTGTTTTGCTATACGCAAGAATTTGTTTAAAACCTTTCTTGCAGAAAGTTTGAGGTCATGACTACGTCAACATATATAAAATACAGGTTGCTCACAGAGGCAAATGACACGGCACATTTGAAAAGGTCGACACGTCTAGTCTGTTGATTTTATGTCCTAGTGAATGTAACGGTTACTGTGGTTATAGACAAATCTGACCATCAAAATTAGCAGCCATTACGACAGGGCCTTCCTGTTCCAATTTCAACCACTCTTGAGAAAAATGTGTCACGATACATTAATTTCTTCAGTGGATTGTAAATGTTTAGCTCTTGCACGATCTTATAACGTAAAATTCTGTCAACAGGATATCAGTACGTGTCTTACCCTAAATTTTCTCCAATGTCCTCAGGAGAGTTAAATGTTACACAAAAATTGAGGTTAGCATCTGAAATGTACATGAGGCTTATATCCCTCTTGTTTTTCCTCTTATGACAGGAGCAAGGGGGTGAGACGTCCAGTGCCAATCAGCAAAAAATTACTGAGTTGCTGGTGAATAACCCAAGGGTCGACATGACGGTGAAAAATAACAAAGACTTCAACTGTCTGCAATTTGCGGCACTCAAAGGGAATAAACTGTAATTACTTAATGCATTTATTTATTCCTGCAGCGAGGCAAAGTAAATGTAGCTACAAATTCGCATGGCGCTGTGACATAGAAGTCTGGGGTCCTGGGGATACCGATTTGATATTTCAAAAAGGTTCATTTTTTTCGACAACAAAACGATTCCTTTTTATCAAACGTGCACAAGGAAGGATAGCATTAACTATAAACAACAGCTGGTCATTTTGTGCTCAATATGACTGGTATAGGTCAATCGGGTCTCGATGACTTATACAAATAGAAGAGCGAGCGACTTGAAGTCGGCCAAATTAAATTCTGGTTTCAGACAGATGAACTTAATACAGACATTTGCATAGGGTTTGGCTAATGAGATAAGAGCAGCGTTTGAAACCAAGCCCCCCTGGTGTCGTTCCGAGCGCTTCAAAGTGTCGATCTTTCGCCTGCTAGCACGCCTGGCCGCTCCTAATTGGTTCAGACGTCGTCGAACTTTTGCCGTCCTTAATTCAAAATTTGTTTTTAATTTGGTTTGGCGCGACTCTCGAACAGCTGTCTGAAACAGGGGTAACTAAATCAAGACAGGACCAATATTTAGTCAACAGTGACTGACTTTGGTAAATTTGACTGATATTTGACTGATATTTGACTTATCTTTGACGACGAAATGCTAGTCATTGGCCAGTCTGTCTAATTTAAATTTGTCAGTTTAGATATAGAGCTTTACTAAGTTTATTAATTAACCAAAGTGACAATTTTGTTTGCAATGTTGTTTTATTGTTATCTCGTTCTTGGTCTAAGAAACAGGAAAATCTAACTTCTGTATTGGGAGTGTTCTGCACCACTGCCACGTGACTAGTCACTGAATAAGCCACTGTGACCACCCATTTAAGTTTGGTGTCGGAAGACTTTGAGATGAGCCTGAATTCGCGAAGCGAAATGTCGATAAAAACATTCTTTTCTTTGTCTTTAAAACGTACATGTACATATATAAAAGTCAACAGATTGATGCTGTATTATTTTTACGTTACGTATGTCTTTTTAGTGTGATCGATAAGATTCTCCAAGTCGCCCCGAAGTTATTAAACACGGCAAAACATGACGGGTTCACAGCCCTTCACCTTGCTGCCTTCAACGGATTCACAGGCGCTTTGCTGACACTCGTTCAGCAGGTGAGTACTGAATGTACTACATAAGCGAAAGGAAAGTTCTTCACAACGCTTAAAAGTAGATCTGCACCTTACTTTCCTTTTGTGCCCGAGAACGCATACAATATGATCACAAACTTGCGATCAAATTGTATGCGTACTTGTTCAACTGAGTGACCTATGAGCTTTTAGCTGATATTTTCTAAAGAAACAGTACCATATTTTGATGGGCATATTCGCAGGCCGAAGTGTAAAACGTACTTATTGTTCAGGAAAACGGTTTAAAACAGATACTTCGTCAACAAACTGTTTCGCTTACACGTGGCGGTTAAGGTGCGTTATTAAAAAGATTTAAGAGATCAAACACGTTCACCGACCATCTCTGTTCTGGTGCTCAGGAATATTGCTCGAAGGATTTGAAGAACACCGAAGGACAAACGGCATTGCATCTTGCCGCTTTAAAGAAGTATTACGAGTGTGTTAAGGTTCTGGTAGGCAATGGCGCTGATGTCAACGCGCAGGACAAAGATGGCAACACCACTCTGCATCTCGTCTTGAAAAATGCCAAGGTTAGTGTACCGGTAGTTTTAACATGTAGAAGACGCAGGTGATAATCGAAGGCATAAAACGTTTATACGTCAGCCGTACCAAAAATGAACATTATTTTTTTCTAACTGCACCACCATTAGTATTTTTACTTTTATGGTGATGAAGATTAGGAATCATAAGTTTACTAATAAATTTCAACTAGATGAAAACCAAACAAAACTTTTGATTGAGATGAAAACATTTTTGAAATACAATTCACAAATCAGCATTTCACGGGAGAATATTCACCTTGGAAAAAGTAATTGGCAGTTCTTGAAAATAACTGACTTTCTGGAAGAGTCCACGAAAAGTTTTCAAAGCCTTCAGAAGTTGGGAAATTCTCCTCAACCTTAAATAATTCGAGGGGCCTTTTCAGTCCTCAAACCAACAGCTCCCCATATCCTACTGTTGTGCTTTGCGGTAAAATGTTTGTTATAATGATTCCTAAATTTAAAAAAAAATGCCGTTTTCGTAATGGCAATCAATTTTTCACATCAGTTGTTCCACCTTTTGCGAACAACACTGCTTCATTCATTAGCATCCCCACGATTTAGGAGTCCTCAGATTCACAATTGTTGATAATTTGTAACACGTCACATATGAAGCGTAAGGCTAACAAATACTAAATTTATGGGGGTCAATAGAAAATTTACACATTTTGTCAAGCTGTCTGAAAACAATTTCACCAGGTTGGAGTCATAAAGATGTGAACTTATGTTTTGTAATTATTTTTAGAGTAAATGAATAACAAAACATTATGACGAAGTAGAAAAGCGTAAATAATTCCATACATCAAGTTAATGGATGCAAATATGTTGTGAATAATAAGGTTATCACAAAGGCACTAATTTTACATTTGGGCCCCTTTATTTGATAATCAAATAATAAAAAGGAACTCCTTAACCCTCCAAAATGTGATAAAATTCAAAAACATTTATTCAATTAAAGTGACCACGGAAGGCGCGTCAAAGTTCGATTAATCAATGTAATGATAAGATAGCAATACTAACATGTTTTGTTGTTTTGAATTAATTTGGAAAGAAAGTCAGTATTGAAATCGGATTTCTATCTTAAATGTTGAAAACGTTCAAAGACTTGAAAAGCAGCAGGCTTTAATAAAATTGGTTGCGGAATTTAATGTAATTTATTGGGGGAACGGACTTTGGCGCCACTGGCAGTATTCGTCCGAGTTCTCAGAAGGGATCACATAGGAGTAGAATTAGTAAAAGTAAAGGCCATTCACAGGATTTCACGTTTAGTGAAATCATTCCAACAAATCTTAGAAAAAAACCCAGATATGAGCTATACGATATCGTATGTGTGCTAGGACCCACAAAAGCCATCGGACACTACCGCACAGACGCAGGAGATAATCCAAATGTTGATACAACATCCAGAAATGGATCTGCAACTGCAAAACCTCGGAGAAGTCAACTGCTTGCAGTATGCAGCCCTCAACGGAAATCAGTTGTAAGTTAATCTTTTCTGAAATCTAAAAGCTGCAAGGTTACGTATTTCAACTTAAATACAAAGTGGAAGTACAAGAACCAAATCTTAGGGAGGCTTTAGATAATAAATAAACCGCCATAAACAAACGCAGGAAACAAAACTGCCATTTCTAAAATCGGCTAAATTAACAAATGAAGCCAATTGCCTTGATCACACATCAAATTAAAGATTACTTCACTATTCTACAGTGTCTATTACATTTTTATCTCTGTCCTATCGAGGAACCCTCAAATTCAAGGGCGACAAAATGTTCTAACAGCAGAGAAATAAATGGGAAATCGTGTTTGGTTTGAGCCTAGTAATCTGGCCTGACTTTTCTGTTGAGTAGAAGTAAAATTTCCATCCATAAATACCCCAGACACTCTCCCTATTCAACAACGTGCAACTCGACTGCATATTAACATTTAATAAGGTCCGCTGAGGAGTGATAAGTCCCGTTGTATAAATCACGCTTGGCACCTGGATAAAAGACAGTTTAATCAATTCTGATTGGTCAAAAGCCTGTGTGCACGCGGCTCGCTAGGCGCGCGCAAATTTGACAATTTCCACAAGGAATATTCCGTAAAATGCACGAGGGTGTTCGGGAAAATGAATGTAAAATTCTCGAACAAAATCGCTGGGAATCCATCATATATTGACTTCTTTTGACTCTGACTAAAAAGTTATTTTATGGATGGGAATAAATATGTGCTTAGCCGATCTTTAAGACGGGCTCGAGAGAATGGACGCGACTAATGCCCGAGCTGCAAGCGAGGGCATTATCACCGTTCAATCTCCTGGGCCGTTTTAACAGCACGTCTTAAACGCACGTTTAAGACCAGTCAAGCACATTTATTCTTTTAATAGACAAACATCTCACACGCAGCATTTGCTCAGCATGAGTGTGTACAGGACCTCAACATTGGATGTTGCAACAATATTTAGTCCATTGGATTATCAGAAAAACGAAACCACTCATCGTGGCTGCCCGAAACAGTGAGGGTCAAGCTTGATTGCGTTTTTGTTTATTATTTCAGCATCATCATCTTCATCTTTACTTTCTCCCATATAACTATATCGTTTCTTTTTGTTTTTCATTTCATGTGGGGACGGGTTGGCAAAAAGAAAGAATTTTTAACCTCATGAAAAAAACTCTCCAGCGTCGTGGTCCGTAATGATGCCGCAGAGTTTGGTCATGCATTGTACTGCTCTTCACGTGTAATAAGGGATAGATTTTCATAGCTTCAAATATCACAGAAGCTGACTTGACCTCCATGTATCTTTATTTTCCTTTTTTTTGTGGCTGAAGGGGTGGTGCTAGAAAAAAACATCGATTTTTCCGATGTTGTGGGCCAGGGAGAGGATCGGTTGGAACTTTGATGAAGAGGAATAAAAAAGCGGGTGCCCTCATGTGCTAACAAAGCACCATAACTGGTCCTCTTTCTTTTGGTGCAGTGCGGTAGAAAGGATTTTGGAAGCCAACCCATTGTTGATCAATACAACAATGAGCGACAATACAACCGCTCTTCATATCGCTGCAACAAATGGCCTTAGAGATGTATTAATAACCCTTCTAAAGAAGGTAAGGATCTTTTGTATTGCAAACATTTCAATCAAGTACAAAATCCGTTTTCATTTATACTTTTTGATAGAATACAACTACAAGAGGCATAATCTCGTCTATTCTGCAAGTGTGCAATAATGTAAAGGTGAAGCACTCGGGTATAACTTCCTGACAAAATTAAACTAATAAGTAAGACGCTAAAGCTAGAGATCATTCTTAGGAGACGTAACGTCGTGGTAGTTTAGTCCACGCATGGAGGAAGGACACAAAAGGAGTTTGAACTGCCCGAGCTATAACATCTGGCCAAATACCGCTTTCTGGCATACCCGGTATGTCCATAGCCAGAATAAGAAGTACCCCACAAGGATCATTCGTTGTCTTTGTTGGGCACCTACAAGGTTTCTTGGATACAAATCTTAGGGTGGGTGAGTATGTCACTGATGATGTATCATCAATACTCCAAAAGTAAGTGCATGGTGACTGTGCTTTATGACAAAACACTAACAAAATAAGCATCAACTGTCTTTTGTTATGCATCAGACCAAAGCAGAGCGTTTTAAATGTTTATTGAAGGGTCTCTGACATCAAAATAAGTTTGACACAGACCTGTCATTAAACAGTCGGTATTTGAGAGCTGCGCAGAAAATTCGGTTCATTTCGGTTATAATCATGCTCTCGTTTTAAATTTGTTGCACAGGAGACGTGCCAAAAAGACATAAGCAATGCAAGTAAACAAACAGCTTTACACTTGGCAGTTGACAAATGCCACGCCGAGTGCGTAGAGGCTCTCGTGAAACATGGTGCCAACGTGAACGCTCAAGACAACCATGGCAACACCAGCCTCCATTTGGCCATCGCAAAAACCCCACTGAAAAACATTTCACAAACTACCAAGGTAAGCAAAGAATCTGTGCACTTGATTCAAGCAGCTATTGTCGTTTTTTCAGCAAAATGCCGACATTTTAAATGTAAAGATACTATATAACCGCATTGTCAAAATGTGTCATGCCGACGAACGTTCATGTTTTCTCCTTGAAATCAAAAGTAAGCCAGCCAGCTGGCCAGCCTGCCTACTACCTGCCTCTCTGTTATGTCTACGACCCCAATTTATGCTGTTGAATATTTTCCGCTTGGCCTCGGTGTAATAATACCAAGATTTAAGTTGTTAAGGTTCCAGTTCTGGTCAATATTCATATTGTTCGATGTTGGATAATTAAATTACTTGGACTAAGGCAAAAGTACTTAGCACAGTCATTAAAGATACATTGTGCACTCTTTTTGTAATGCCGCACTTCTCCTAAAGTATGAGCTTATGGTGTCAATTTTGTTCAATGCACTGGGCAGTATCTATATGAAAAACCATGTTATTATTATCCAAAGAAGGCTACACAAATTGAAATAACAATGAAACTTAGTATTTTTTTTTACAAATTGTCGTCCTTTACGACTTTAAAAATGAATCCTTCATTGGCAGGACGTTGAAGACATTAAGGAGATCTTGGCTGTAATTAAAAACTACAAGCGAGTCATCAAGTTGTTGGTAGAGCATCCGAGAATCGACCTAACACTGACAGATAAGACGGACTTCAACTGTTTACATCATGCAGCCATTAACGGAAATACTTTGTGAGTTCCTTCCAGTTTAGTTTACTTTGAAATTGAACAGTCTTGGTGCAGTTATAACATTATACCTAGATTTACTGTTTCTGAGAAAACTCACTCAAACATTTCATGATTTTGTGAACGTATTCGTATACGTTCGTAACAAACTACGAATTCCTTCGCTCGTCAAATTTAGTTAATTAAACCACTTCGTGCCGGGGAATCTATAAATGTTGATTCTGCTGGGCCAGGGTATTTTTCATTTTTTTTTCTATTTTCAAAAAATTCTTTTGTTTCCGATACTGGCACAGTGTGCTGCTGACGTCTTTTTTAATAGGGACCAGATTTATAGCGAGCAGCAGCTGTGTATGGCTCACTGCTGCAGCGATGGAGCGCTTTTGTCACCGGTAGTGATCCACTCGCACTGAATGCCACAAACAGTGGTATACTGTTTCAAAACAATGCTGGATTATCTCCACTATTGACAATGAAAAATGTTAGTAATTCCCAGCAGCCTGGTCTTTTGTTACGAGTTTGGTCTTTTGTTACAAAACCAAGTTCCCTTTGCCCGATTTCGGGCACCCCAGCTGTGAATCTAAAAAATACGTGTCCGAAATCGCGGACCCCGGCAGCAAGTGGTATTATAAGCAAACTCATCACGGTCACACTTGGCATTCTTATTCAGCAAATGAGGACATTTCAGTCAGCTCAGAGAAACACATCAAGAATGCCTATTGAGGTATGTTCTGGTTACTCATATGAATATTTTCCCCTGCAGTGCCGCCATGATTATGTTAAAGGTAAAGCCTACCTTGATCAATACTGCCTGCACAAAGGACAAATACACAGCTCTACATCTTGCTGCTCTCAACGGTCACACGGACGTAGTAGCTACACTATGCAAACAAGTGAGGAAACCTGTTTTACTTACCATTACAAGGATACAGTTTGTAACTTATCTACCAATGTATAATACACGCGCATAAGCGAAATGTAGTGTAGAAAAGGCGCGAGCGACCAACGGAAAAGAAAAAGAAGTTCAAACTTCATGGTCATCCTGTAAATTTCGTTCGACCATTACATAACCCAAATACACTATCGAAAGTGTTACAAACGTAAAAGATTTAAACAAAAAAGTGTAAAAAATCTGGAAAAGAAAATGGCTGTAAGGTCAAACATCTATTAACTCAGGCAAACGCAAGGGTCATTTCATTATTAATGTACTTTTCGTTTTCATGGTATAAGGAGTACCGAAGTTAATACGTTAATAAATTAGTGCGTAAAAGGCATTAGGGCGATAACCAGCTCATGAACCAACACGCACGCTACTCCATTCCTTTGCACTGCAATTTCTGATTCGCAGAGACGTCACACTTTGATACTATATTTATGTAGCATTTTTTCGTGTTTCAGCAAAAGCTGGCACGAGTTAATTTGGGGAGCCCGGTATTAGTCGTTTACATTTTTGCCATGTTTCAATGCTTAACAACCCTCGCAAAATTCACTATCACTCTCTGGTACAATGTAAAACTGATACGGAAAGAAGTTACTCGTGCCCTTTCAAAACATGCTCTTTTTTCCCGGGACAACGAATGCATTTTTATTTTCTTTATTACTCAGCCATTAAACCTTTTTTGGATAAATCGTTTGTATTTATTATGTTTTAAGGAAAACTGCACAAAAGATCCTCTAAATGCCAACCGCCAGACTCCCCTTCATTTAGCTGCTGACAACTGCAATGCCCAAAGCGTTGAGATTCTTCTCAATGAAGGTGCTGATCGTAATGCCCAAGACAAGGACGGAGACACGTGCCTGCATGTGCTTTTGAAGAAATCCTCGACGGAGGAGACTACGAGTTCCAACAAACAGGTTTCCATTTCTGAACCAAACACTGAAATAGGCCTCTGGCATCACTGAAATTTGAGGCAGCGAAGAGCAAAAACTAGAGATCAAATCAAGGAAACGTCTTCTTTAGCTCAAAATATTTCATCACTATCCAAACTTTGAAAAAATGTATAATTATAAAAAAAACCCACTACTTATAGTTGACATTTGTAACATGTCAAGCATCAACCCCTTATGGCTCACTGATCTCGCAACACTGCAAAACTGTGTCAAAGTTGGAAAGTTTAACACTGTCAACATGGCGGTACCTTGAGGGCAGGTTCTTCCGTTACCCACTGATACCTTGTCTGCCTTCATATCTATCCTACAGGTGTTAAATTTTGTGAATAAGCAGCTATGTACATGTAATAATGTGGTGAATTCGAAGTAATGCCGCCACCTTCATTTTACATTTTTTTTTCTGCAGGACATTCAGCACCTCATCCGGCTGTTTATAGAACACAAAATTGATCTCACATTGAAAGATAAAAACGGTGACATTTGCTTACATTGTGCAGCCTTCAGTGGGAATAAAGGGTACGTTAACCGTAATCTTAATGGATGATTTTGTGCAATTCGGTGCTTACCACAGAAGCCTAGTACGATGTACGCATCCATTAGCACAAACAAATTAAGTCAATGTCTTCTATTCCTCAACAACGTATGATGACAAATGGAAGCGTTGCAGCACAGAGCATGTATTTGCGAAATTAAATGACTGCCACATACTCCAACCCTTTAAGCCATTCTGGGGGAATTTGAGCGTATAAATCATTGTTTTTCATTGCTCACAATACTCATAGTTCTACTCGATTATGAAATCGCTTTCAGCCGCCTCACTACTCAGATGAATTAAACTTTGATGCAAGTGATTTTAACAAGACAAACTTTTAAACCATCAGTGCCGTTGAGATGATAATAGAAGCCGCGCCGTGGGTCATTAATGATCGAAGCGACACGTTTACGGCACTACACATTGCATCCCTCTACGATCAAGCAGATGTAGTAAAGACGCTTGCGGAACAGGTGAGACATGATTATTACACGAGACAAGACCAGTTTTCTACAAATCTCGCTATTTCGGCCATTCCGTTAACTCCTGAGTAGATTCTACAACACAAGCCAGCAGGATCCCAATGTCATATACTGCATATTTGTAGCAACTCCATCGCCCACTGAATGCATCAGCCTCTTATCCTCTCATGGTCTATTTCAACAACTTTGTGCCTCCGTTTCGACGTTTTGTGTGGATGTTTCTGGAGCTGTGGACTTGTATACCGCCTCAGGATTCATGAAAAACAGTGATGTCAATGTAATTGTTTCACAGTTACCGTTGCATCAGCAGAGTTGTTTTTCTTCGAGGAGCAGGCCTGCACGCGTTTCTTAATTGATTATTAAAACGGAAACCTTTTTGTTTTCACAGAGCTACTCAGGAGCTCATAATTTATATAGAAGAGCCCATACAGGCAACTTGGACGTTAGAAAAATCACGGACGTAAATATAGCAAAAGCAAGAACGACAACTGAGATTTGCACAATATATACCGTACCAAGACACCATAAATTCGTGACCCCCTCACTTGACAGATAATACTGTTTTCATTTACGAAGCCACCAAGTCAATAAAATTACGCGGCTGATAATGGACACTGTGGTAATGTTTCTTTACATGTTAAAAAATGGGATACGTGGTTTGAACAGATGGATCAGTGGAGGTGCCCTGACAAGAGTCAACAAACATATAAAGACGGTTAATTCGCAATTTGTGATTTAAACCTGATACTACATGTACCGTCAGGCCTTTTCAAACCAGGTGATTTGTACTCAAATAATTTTATATTTCCAAGGGCAACTGCGCAAAGGATTTGCTGAACTCGAACTCGCAGACCGCACTGCATATTGCAGTTGATAAAAACCATTACAGATGCATTGAAGCGCTGGTGAACAACGGTGCCAACGTGAACACCCAGGACGGAGATGGTAACACCAGTCTCCACCTGGTAATGATGAAAGAATCCACCCAAAATATGCTGGCATCTGCAACCAAAGAAGAGGTGAGCACCGATATACGCAACAAGAGCGAGTACCAGAGACATATAACACAATAGTATACAACCTCCACCTAACTACCTAATTTTGAATTGACTTCTTATGAGATCATTACAGGTTATAGAAGAATGTTGAATGTTGTTTGCATTTCTAAAGGTATATCTAATTTTTATATTCGAAAATCTAGTAAGTCCCAAAAAGGGCTTGCCCACAAACTGAATAGGATAAACAAATGTGGGGTTCAGCAATACCGCCAAAAGGATGACGTGAATATATCAACGCCAAGTTTTCTTCTGGAGTCGAATTGCGTATTCAAAAACAACTGTTCACTTATCTTTCAATTCAGTCAAATCAGGGGCAGCTGTAAATTTCTCTTTAAATTTCTCGTTCAGTATAGTTTCCAAAAAAATGTGTCGAACTGCTCAATCCCTTTTTGATTTTTTTTTCACAGCTGTTAGATCTTGCCAAGATAACCGAAGAGAAAGGCAATGTTGGAGACGAAAAGACCAACCTCGTTGCCTTGGTTACCACTCTTCTCCAACATGGCGCCAACGTCCACCTCTTGAACAGCAAGCAAAAGAACACGCTTCACCTAGCCCAAAACTCCAGTGTCAAGTCATTCTTGGAAGAATTGTTTGAAAGGTACAGTAACAAAGCCGTCTGGCAGAGGACATTTTTAAATTCCAAGCCAAATAGCAACCTATTTCAGAGTACGTTTCGTTATTCCCAACCTACGAATTCATCATTTAAACCCACGGCATACTACAGGTGCTGCCAGCCCGAACTATACAGAAAACTACTATAGCACATAAAACCTCCCATTTCAGCAGACCAGTTGCAAAATGTCGTGATAGCCAACGAAGTATCCGGCTGAAAATGAGTTGCGAAAACCTGTTAAACCTAAAGACGGGAAAACAAAAACATTCTCTGTTCACATATTTCTATATCAATCAGGCAGGAAATAAGGTTGGAATAAATGGAGAAACACTTTTAAAAAGGAGGTGAAAACGGACTGATGGTGCAGTAGAATCAAAACCGGTCAACGCATCGTTCCCTTTTCTTTGACTTAGGTTTCGACCAGCTCCAAAACAACCAGGGACTTAAGGAGAGAAGGACCAAAGTTCAGACGTGTGGAGAAGTGGATCTGCAAACGCGGGCGATGTCTGACACTGTCATTTTGGGTCACTTTTTCAACAATGAAAATTGAAAAAAAAATCATTCAAATGATGCAGCCACGTGTATCTTAGCTACGAACTGTGTATACGTGTCATAAAGCATAGAGTGTCACATTCGTTGGTATCTGTAGTGATAAACAGTTAAGGGCCCATTTTACTCAAAACTAAATTAATCAAGCTACGGGAAACAAGCCAAAGTTCAATACTGGACAAGGTACTGCTGTGACAAGTTGAAAAAAAACTTGCTAATATTGAATATCATTTTAATTGAAGCCTTGGTTATGTAAGAACTGCGTCAAGAATGATACGTTATAAGTACAATCGACAGCAAAATGGTTCCTGCATATAAATGGTGTACATCGATCAGATATATCCTGCACATTTTGATCGCTGAGGCCTGATGCAGGACTTTTTCATTAATTCTTTGCCCACCATTGTTTTGTTTATTTTTTCACGAGTAAACAGATAAAAATCTAAAAAGAACCAAGAATGGGATGTGAATACACTATTTCTACGAAGAAATAGGTTCAGTAGACTGAACCTTTTAAGTCATTTATTTTACTTGTCATTTTATTATGTGTGAAACGTAGCACGGAGTTAGATTGTGTTTTTTTCAGATTAGTCTCATATAGGTTTTGTTGACTTGAATAAGAGATAAATTAGATGAAATAGACACATCTGCAATAAGGTGACAAAATTTAAACGCATTAATATTTTTTTTATAACATTCGTGGTGAAGTATCCATAAGATTATAGTATTGGCATAACAATGGCATCCTTCAAGTGTTAGTTCCTCTGAGAAGTGTACGTAGATAAGAAACATCGTATTCAATGACGATGCTGAGCCTGATAGTAGTCTTTTATTTGTTGCATAACCCTTACCCTCCCCAATCCTCCAACAGGTGAAGGATTGAGGAGGGTTAGGGTTAATGTAACGTTAGAATTCACAGAATTCAGGAAAATCACATATATAATTCTTAATAATATAGTTAACATTTTATTTTACTTCATTTTACAATCAGATTTTGTCGCATTTAAAGCATCCTTATGTATACCAGAGTTACAATGAACGTAATATCCTTTTGCTTAAAGACTGCGCCAATATTACGCTAACCGCTCGTTTAATAATAAGTCTACAGGTCTCGGAGAAACTGCCAAGAATTAAGCTGACAATGCTGTATACACAGCTAGATACCGGCAGGTCGCAATCAGTACTTTCATAAGACGTATTGCATCAATTTTCATTTTACACGCACATTTTACACATTGTTAACACATGTGAAAGAGATTTGCCATGTTAACTTCATTTCTCTAGACACTAACTGCGTACACATATTTGTGATATGTGTACGCAGTTAGTGTCTAGAGAAATGAGGACATGGCTCATTAGAGGCTCACAGAGGACAGGGCAGAGAACACATCAAAATACATTTTTAGAAAGAAAAATATCAAGTCATAGTTGCAGTACCTAAATTAAGATGTCAAAGATTTTTAAAGTACTGCTCTGTGGTACCGGTACTTTGTCTCAATAATCATCGTGAAAGATCTATGGATATGCGTTACTGAAAAAAAATAATCCTCGTTCAGCTTTTGTTCTTATACACTAATTTTTTTAATGCTTATATGATAAGGAAGCAATGTATCAGTCACAAATTACAGCTCTACTCTGGTTTTCTACTCTGATTTAAAGTAAATACTCGTCATTAACCTTTATTTAAAATGTTCTCATGTAAGTGTTAAATACTAAAAGTTTTCAGCGAAAAAAAAATGGTTGAAATGGTGACGGATTTTAACAAATTTAACACCGATACCTGATTTTTTGTCGTATCGGATACATACTTTTAAGGTGCAGAAAAGATTCATCATTGTAAAACCATTTCATCGAACATTCTGAACAAAGAATAATGATTAGTATTCTTTCTTTTTTTTTGGTGTGCATGATGCACGTTTGTTTCGTTTGCATGATTAATCTAGATACTAATTCCCTATACACAAACCACGTTTTAAAATATTTCATCTAATTTCAACTCTTTTGATGATTTCATTTGGACACTGCGTTTACCGTTTCAAAATTATACGACAGAGCTTGACCGTGCACAGACATTTTGTAATCAAGCAGTTATTCTGTGGAATCAAATGGAAGACGTAAATGAAGACGTGTATAACACTGAAAATCTGTGAAGGACTTAAGGAACTGCACAATGGTATCTTAGACTAACCTTTTCATACCGAAAAGGTATGGTAAGATACCATTGAAAGTCTATGTGTAGCATTCAAATCATTCGCTTCATTAACGTTCCATTTTCGTTCACTCTTTTAATAGTTTTATATTGGTATTTTCCTTTACATAAAATCCAGTAATCTAGCTATTTCGAAAAGAGTGGTCTTCTGTAAAAGTCACATATGAAATGGTTGCAAATTATAGCTTTGATCTGATTTACATCTAACTCATTAATTTTATTGGTTATTTTGTCATATTTGACACATCTTAGAGTGTGTGTGATGATTTTTAAATACACGTAAGGGTTCAAACATATGAAACTAAAACAGCAACGTCTGCGAGAAGGTGACGGAATATAAAAGAAATGAACATTGATATCGCAATTTTTAAGTAGCGAACGATCCGTAGTTTTGTAACATCGTAAACAACTGCATCATTTTATGCTTTGGTACGCAGAACAGCATTTTTTAGTTTGATATATATTCCTCTTTTAGAAAGAACGTCATGCTTTTGTGTGTATTAAGCATTTGCTTCTACACGTGTTTATGTATAATTAATGAAGATTTTTGGACTCGGTCACACAAAGAATTCCAAATCCAAATTTGGAGTCCAAACCCCTTAAAAAATATCCGAAGACCTACAGGGCTCCATTTCGTGAGGGGGATGTTTGCTTGGATACACCTATTTTGTTTACCGAAAAGGAGAAGTAGATGCGTTTGACACTTTTGTAATGGGAATTAAAGGATTGTACAATTATGTTTTTTTTTATAAGTCATGGTTTTGTAGTGTTACAAGCATACACCTCGCTTAGATTCATACTGTTCTATCTAAAAACCTAAAATGTGTACAGTTTAGAAAAGTGGTAACTTGAGGAACACATCTACGATCACTGAGGTCTGATTCCACCCCTTTTCACCTATAATTTGTTTAACTTTGTTTGATTTATTTCACCTTGGAGGAAATTTCATTAAGCCTAAAACGTTTCTCTGAAAACTAATCGCATGCTTAATTAAAATTACGGTTTAAATATTGTTTAAATAGTTTTTTGATGGTAAGATTTCGTAATTTAGAAAAATTCTTATCTGCGCATATGGGATTAATTTGTGATTGTTATTTTTCTTATAGGAGTGGGGTCAAATATCAATGCACTTTTAATAGTTTTGGACACAACATATTGATCTGTGGCAATGCCTTGGCAGGAAATCTTCCAAGGGGCAAAGGAGGTACATAAAAATGCAAAGTGTCAGCAGTTACCGTGGTAGGGTTTTGGTGCGCTACTGCAGCAAGGTTTAGAAACGATTTAGCAGCAATAGTAAAAGACTGTGAAAAAGGTAAAAGAAAAATTCAGAAACTACCGGTTTTTTGTCGTATCGAAGGGGAACACGATTATTCCGATCCAATCGTAGGTCAGACCTGAATTGGACGTACGCATTTGTATCCAGTACTGTAGTGGTTCTATTATGAGGTAAAATTTCTCGACTGTAATCAGTAATTGCTGAAAGTGAATAATAAAGAAATTATGCTTTGCTCGAGCCGCATATATGTTTGTGAATGCATTCTTTTTATTCAATGGTTCTCAGACTGTTTTGCGTCGTAAGATCGGTTGGGAGAAACTGAATTCATACCCACTGAAGATGTAAATGACTATACTAAATCTGAAGCATGCAGGTCACTGACGTTTTGGCTGGAATGGCAGGCATGAAACCCCAGAAATAAACTGCACATGAAACATGATGAGAGTGAATTCTGTTGCATAATCTGAGATAGCATTGATCGCTGCAAGGCTTAAACTGTTTTCCGTGATAACTGTTCAAATAACATAGAGCCCAGTTGCCTACATATGATGTTTATCCTTAACCTTGTTGGTACTGGGTTCCTGGGTCGGTTGTAAACAAGATTTCTCTGAATCAGAAGCCCATGTAAGACAAATGTGGTTTGATACTAACTGTAAGATGTTATTTTCCCCGTTTCCCCTTCTCCATCTTCTTGCTGTGTTTTAGTTGCATTTTGTTCAGCCCTTGCGTTTATTCATAACGTTACTCTTCACATTACGTCTTTGTCAACGCGTTTTGTTCTAGCACTATAATAAAAAGTTAAATTAACTGACTTTGAACGCGCCATTTACTCAAGAATGAAACTGACATAGACACAATTACTTCAAGGGTTCATTTTTGGATACAATTTAGGCTTGGGTATAGGCACATGCATGTATGATTTTACATACTGGCTGTAGGCTCAATTACGAAAGCTGTGAAACAACTTCCAAGTTCTATGATTACGGCACTGTACAGTAAGCATTGCCAATCTATGTTGCAGGGTTCCAAAAAGCCATCCAGGTGATACGATAGCACGATCACTACGTATGCTGCTTCACAAATACGTGGACACAATGTTCAAAATCCTCGGCGATCGTGACTTTTTACCTTTTCATTTCTTTCTGAATGTTTTGTGTCAAACCCTATGCCAATTTTCCACAGCTGTTTCTCTATTTTCTTTGTACATGTAGATTCATACCTCTTGGGGAAAGGGAAATAAAGTCCTATTAGGCCTAAAGTCTTATTACTGACGGGTTTGTTTCCTGTGTTTGAGTTCTCATCATTCATCGGTGTTATGGAAAAGACTGATTGTTTGTAACTTAGTGTTTATAATTATCAACGTAGTTGACATGGTTAATATAAGTATTAACATGTACTATGCATGTGTGTGTTGCCTCTACAGTGAAAGTTGGTCTTGTATTGGCATTAGTCGCTGACCACAGCAGTTTGGGATTTTACATAACCTGCTTCAAGGTTATTGATTCTATTTAATGTTTTTTATCAAAAGTCTCTGTTTTAGTCTTTAGATAACATTTATGTAAACCGTATGTAATTCGAAGAATATTGTATAAAAGGGAGCATGGAATGCATCCAGGGTCTCTCTCTCCGAATTTCGGAGCTGATCTGAGATGATGGCAGCCTCGAACTCTTGCCGTAGCATTTCACTTGTTACTTAACGACAATGGCCAAAGAACAGTTCCTGCTGTTGGAAAAGAAACATGTACATTTCTCGTAACAGCAAAATACCTTTCTTTTGTTATGTGTGATGATTGTTGATTGCAAAGTGCGCAGCCGCTTAGGGATTCATGCGTAACGATCAGTCACTGTTATTGAAATTTAAAAATGATTTAAGAGATTTGTGTGGTTCAAAGCAAAGACCTGCATGCGTCTAGCAGTGTTTGTATGTATGATACATAAGCAGCGTACTCTGCCACACCATTGTGCAGCCATTTAGGTCTTGATAAGGATACTGGTACAGAGGCATGACCATTAAACCTTTCAGTGTTCACGTTTCTCTTTGAATTTTTAATTCGTTCCTAGCAACGTTAGCGGGACGTTTAGTTTGTGCGCATGCGCGCCAAATTTGTAACCGTGCGAACTGAAGATGGCCGCCCAGCGGTCGCGGTTTTGAGCCCAGAATGTATCGGGTATCATCATCTTTAAATTGACGTTTTTCGTTTTTTCTTTGCAAGTGATTTGAATTTCAGACCTTCCAATTTAATTTGTGCAAGTATAACGTCAAAACGACCAATATCTTTTGACTTATTTTGGATCGGATAGGCGACGTCTACTGCGAGTGTTATTGATACAAATGCAAAATCACTAGTTTTTGAGATGGAAAATGGCATATTTCTCGGGTTTTCCAGAGCCACCAAAACAACTATGTTTGGAAAAACAAAAATAAGGCGTGGAATGAATCTCAAAGGCCTATGGGCAAGAAGTCCTGTTAAAGAGGACGGAAAGGTTTTATTTCAGGTGTTTTGCTTATGTGCGTAAACCTGCAGCGCCCTCCTTATACATACATGTACGTACCGAAAAGTAAAAAAAAAAATTCAGTCATCAAAATCCCCACAGCAGCATACCACGCCAAGGTTACGGGTGCTGCACGAAGATCCCCAGTAAGTCGATCAAGAGATCGTTTGAAATTGCACTATTTGAAGAGATACGGTCCTGCTTTATAGATCTGGAATCTGGTCGAACAGTCACAGTCCTTGTCCAGTGCATGTAGGCATGATTTTAATGAAAAAAATCTAAATTGTGCCTCTGAATTTTATATATGTAGTCTCATGAATGGAAATACCACAAAGCCCTTAGAGAAAAGAAACTCATTAAAGATGAAATAGAAAATAAGTTAAAGGCTAATGAGTTTACTAAGTGATATTTAGAAACCACTCTCAATTAGAATATGTCAACCAATACATCTACCTGGGCTGATTCAGAAAAAAAAGATATACGTCACCAGGCCACCTGTTCAGTTTTGAACTCTACAGTAATTCCATCATTTGGCCTGGGGAGTTTTCTTTTTACATGACTGTCTCAATTTTATTTTGTGCTAATGAAATGGCTCACTTTGGGAGGAATAAGGAGCACTCCATGAATGTCAAGACGGAGAGCTTGTCAAGCATTGGGGACTCTTGACTTCACTTGAGACATGCTTTGTGGAAGAAATATGAACTCACTCGTTGTGTTTTGAATGTACATGGGTATCTGTCTAATCTGACATGATTTTGTTAGCTGAGAAAACATTCTTCAATTAAAGTAATTAAAGAATACGAATAACTTATACCAAATAAATACGTGTATTTGAAGACCATATCGATGACAAGTTCCACTTGGCAGTTGCAACTGGTACACAGAAAAAATGTAACTATATATTACTTTTACATTTTTCAAACGCCAGGCTTCTTGCCAGCTGCAAAATACGCGTAACAATGCCAGCAAGTATTGGTCCTTTAGGCAGTATGGCAATTTACTTTTGGAAAACTGGAGAAATATTTCGAAAAGGAGTTTCAATTGTTGCATTTTTCAACAAAGTTTGCACATGATTTCGATTAGTTTTCTTTTGTGAAAATTCATTTTTCTTTTACGTTGCTCATTTCCAATCTTTTCTTTTCAGACGGAAGAGATCTCTCATGATTGTTCCACACACTTGCCGAATTGTACCCCTTTCGGTGGCTTTGTTATAAGGTGGCAAACGATTTATTATAGGACCTCTGACACAAGAAAATATCGCCTTCGTCGTCTGCTAGTATAACTTACGAGGTCTCGGCACACTGAAAGCCGTTTCGCATGCGCGACTGCAGAAACTAAATGTCCACACAGCCTATGGCAGTGAAATACACGTGACTTGTGTGTACCTTTTTAATGTCCCTCTTGCTTAGTTCAACTCATTTTGCCCCCAAAAGCCTTCTCTGGCGGTTCTACGCTGACAGTTGGCAAAGTTGTAACCTGATCCGACTTTCCAATTGTTTGTTTGTCAATGTTTGCGGTAATCACGATAAAGTGTTTCCTCATCATTCCTTGTCGTCAGGGACTTATCAATGACACTCTCTACGTCTAACGTTGAAATGGAACGAGGCTTGACAAAGATGCCTGCCCTCTCGTGAAAACAAACAATCTCAGTTGAACCCTTTTTTATGCCTTTCCAGGCAGTAAGTCTTCTTTGTGTTCATGCGGCAGGCATGTTTACGTCTGCTTGTGAAAACGCAAAATGGAGCAGTACATTTGTCGCTAACGAAAGCATTCAAAACATTTTGGTGAGATTTTTAAAGGAAAATAGAGAAATGGAAATCGAAAATTGTAATTTTTAAACTACCTTTTCTTTCCTGAAAAGGAAGTAACAGGCATTACGCTTTACGTAATGTACGCAGCAGGGCTTAAGAAATTCGACAACATCCCTTTAATGAAATCAATTTCAGCGTTGCAAATAAAAATAAAAGGAGCACCACTCCATGATTTGACACTTTCCAGTAATTGCCATTCTTCGCAAATCATTTCGATAGACCTAATCCCTTACATTATCTTTTGTGCCAACTGATGCTCCTGGCTGTGACAAAAAACACGAGCGGAATATCAACGGAAAGAACAGTGTTTCTTGAGTATTCTTTCCGTGTTAATGGCTGCTAGCTGTCTGGATTTCGAATAATTTACGATTAACCAGACAACAGATGGCATTCTGAAGATCAAATTTCCACAAAGGCCATTGATTAAATATGACACCAGCAGCGCTGGTTACTTAGTCCTTTGAAACAAATTTATCAGCTCTCCCAGGGAAGATGATAGTTCGCTACAATTGGTTTTTACCTTAACGACTATCCAGTTTCAAAATTTTTTGAAAAAGCAAAAGTGTTTGGAGGTCGTGACGTTAATTGAAACGTTAGAACTTCTGAATCTGTATCAAACTGAACTACAGTCCAGCAGCTTTTCCCAGCTGCTGTTACATTCAAATTGATAGAGGGTTGTGTAAAGTGGACGAGTACACTGACGAGTAAACTCCTTTCATAGGATGACATCAAACTATTTTGTGGCATCAATTCAAGAAAAACGTACCGTAACAGAGATATGATAAGCGACAGCATTCCAACCCTTACACCAATTCAACCATTTATCTGAGTAAAGGAGTGCACACTGTAACTGTCTCTTTCTCTTCTGACTTTTCACGTTGGGCCTGATTTTGAGACTGCACTTCAGGGGCAATACATGTACATGTAATTAGTGATCCGAT